GGGGGGGGGGGGGGGGGGGGGGGGGGGGGGGGGGGGGCAATATTTCTGAGCAAGAATTTTTTTTCCAGGGCCTCCTCTAGTCGCTTCTTTCGCTTTGCTTTGTGCTGGAATTTTTGTTTGGTATACAATGGTCCACCGCTTAGCTTACATACCACACGATCAAGTGAAACGCAGCTTTGTATACCAAATTGCAAGTTATTTCGATCGGGACAATTACGACAATGTTATGAAACAATCGACATTTATCGTACCATGGCATTTATCCGAGTCTTGAAAAATCAATTTGGGGCAACCAATCAAATACACTATCAACCACAGTGTTTACTTCCCAGCGACACGAAGCGAAATACAACTCGTATACGGGAAAAACACCACTGCAATTACTTTAAGTTTATTCCTCGTTTATTAACTTTGGTATAACAACCAACCAATACCTACCAATTCCTAAACAACATTTTCAAATTTAACACCAAGAAGCTACATTAACGTTAATCTATATACATCACTCCGGAAAACGGTCAATAACATATTGCTAAAAAAAAGGTCTATAGTTCTTCTATAATAAATATGAATCGCGAACCATAACCACAGTACGCGAAGACTCTTCGTTTCTACTTCCTGATTTGACTTCCGCCGGAAGACAGCTCAGAAAGCTCAACAGGGTCATACTGGGCTAGAAACTAATCTTCGCTGAATGGTCAAATGAACTTCTTGCTGGCTCAATATATTGGTCGTATATCTTCACTGAATTAACTTAAGGAATCACACCTTAGATATTAAGTTAAAGGATAAAACCCTATATCACCTGTAATTTCAGTAATTAAATATCCAATTCAAACTACTTATTAGACTCGTTTTTCAAAATAAGAGTATTCTAGTAAACAAAAAACAAGTCCAGATTTTTTTCCTGTTTGTAACGATGGAGATATGTTCTATGTTACGACTATACTTAATAACTTTTGTACTCACGAAAATAAAAAATCACAACCTCTTTTACGAAATATAAATTACTTGGACAATAAAACTATTTTAACATCAAACATGTTGTTTAATTTAATAAATTTGGGTTGATGAATTCTTCAGTAGCAAGTTTTTAATAGTTTCCTTCTTACGTTAAATATGTCGGGAAAGCTTGCCGTTTAAAAACAGAGCAAATAAATTATCAACAAAGGGTTTTATAAAATCAAATAAATACCCTTGTACCTAAGACATAATATTCTAAATTTCCTCTAAGTTAACCCGGCATAAACGTTAGTTTTTTGTACTCTGTAACCATGTTTTCGTTTTTTTTTTTTTTTTCTTTCCAATAAGATGACATAAAAATAAACACCTCTTGCGCGAAATCTACACACAGATAAATTATTAACGCCCTAAATGTCGGAATCAAATCCATGTTTTAATTTAAGGTGTCAACTAAGTATATATAACTGCAATCTATAACCGGTTCGCGGGCGCCTTTTCATGTGAGGCGCGGATTTTCAATCAAGCGGTCAACTCGATTTCTTTAGGGATAGGTTTAATGCTGTGTACTTGCCCTCCCGGCCCCGCCAGTGAGGTTTCACCCATGAGGTCGAGGTCGATTTGACGGGCCGCTTGTCTTCCTTCAGAAATAGCTGTCACTATCAGTGACTGACCGCGGTGACAATCTGCAAAAAAGACAAGTTTAGTTAGTGTATTTTGGTTTCCCACAAACCGAAAGCTGTGGTGGAAAACTAACAAGAGTGTTTCCTTTACAACTGACAATAGCGGACACAAGAAAACCAGTTTTCGTTAGTAGGTACTTTAACAGAATGTAGTAGAATGAAATGCCTGCTTGGTGCCCCAATCACCTGGCAAGCGAGTTCCTGAAGTCATAAAAGCGTGAGTCGAAAAGACAGAAGAAAAATCCCAAGACATTCTTTCTGGATTGCACGGAAAAGTTGAGGAAAAAGACTGATGTAAAATCTCACCTCCTGCGGCATACACTTTAGGAACACTGGTCAGAAACTTGTTCTTTTCAGTGGAAAAATTACTTCTGGGGTCCTGCGAGAAACAATACAGAAATAACTTAAGAAAACTAAGAGAGAGCACAGCTTAAGGTAAAAACATAACGGTCTGACCTTTTTAATTCCAAACTGTTCCGCCAATGTTTTCTCAGGCCCTAAGAATCCTGCGGCTATGATCACTAGATCGGCTTTGAACACTTTTTCTGAGTTTGGGATCTCTTCCATAGTCCACCTCCCAGTGGCATCCTGCCGATTAAAATTTGTCCTGTGTTAGAAATTTCAATCGCTCCTCTCGACTGTGGTATATAATGACTTAGGTAATGGTAGTAGTGCTCGCACAATTCCCTAAAATTTGTTATGAAAACACGAACGTACTGTACTTAGGGAGGAACAGACGCGTGGGAGAGGTACATGATTGACCATGATTCATTTCAGCCTTTAGAAAATGGAATAAGCACGTTGATTGGTTAAAACTCGTGTTTCTATTTAAATAGAAAACATTTTCCGTGTTTCTATCGAGTTTTAGTATAAATCTACTAGCGTTCTATCACGAATGGCGTTCTCTGATTGGCTACGTTACACACTATCTATTCTGTGATAGATAGTGAGTAGCGTAGCAGTGTGTGCCATTGGTAACAAAATGACGGCCACTTCTTGGCGTTTTCGAAGTGTCTGTGAAGAGTATTTAGATAACGTTTTGAACGACTAATAGATTTATACTAAAACAATTAGATTATTCGCTATCGATTTCCATGCGTAATAGTTGACTCCGGCTACGCCCTCGTCAACTATCACGCGATAGAAATCTCGAGCGAATAATCTAGTTGTTTATAGAAACACTAGTGGAAGTTTGGGAGAACAAAAAATGCTGTGGGAACACGAGCCGACAGGCGAGTGTTTCCACAGCTCTTTCGAGCTTTTCTAGTTTATTTATGATAAAATGCTAGTAGATTTATACTAAAACTCGTTAGAAACACGGAACATGTTTTCTATTTCTTAAATACCAACCGAATTGTGCCAAGGAAACAAACTTCTTACCTGAACCCATTTGATTTCTACTGTTCTTATGCCTTTAACATGACCTTTTTCGTCTCCAATGAATTCCTAAACAGAGATAAAAAATGTACATTTTTGTAAAAAGAAAGCACGACCTAAACGTGGTGTAATAAAGGTAAGGGAAACGAGATCTAAGCTGATAATAAACACTGGAACACATACCTTACTCATGATGCTGAAAACACGAGGGTCTGCTCCATATTTTACAGCAGCCTGTGATCACGAAAGGGAAAACAGTCAACGTAACAGAAAAGGAAAACGAAAATTTCGAGAGATGTGCACAAGTGCTCCAGCCTTTCTAGTCAATTTCTTGCTGTAAACGAAACAACAAGCAATACCATATCAAAACACGTTTGCTAACAAACGTGGTTTTTACCCCAACAAGAGTAACCCCTTTGGGCTCGTCACGCAATCCTCCTTCCCACCGAACGTCTGCTGAAACCAAGGCAGGGTTGCCACCCGTCGGAACAAAAAGAAAAAAATTACTTTTCCCTGACTTTTCACCGACTGTAAGGCAATTTTCGCTGACCGTGAAGGATGACTATTCTGGCCATGAATCAACAAAAATAAGAATGGCTCAGATAATTTCTAAACCAAAATTGTCTTGTGTATACGAAAACATAAAATAAAATGATTTGCGGCAACCTCCCTGACTTTTCACTGACTTTGAACAGGTATTTAGAAATTCCCTGACCTGATACATAACTCCCTGACTTTTCCCTGACCTTGAATAAAATCTAATTTTCCCTGACTTTTCCCTGACCGTGGCAACCCTGCAAGGGCACATCCCTTTCTCTTGGGGGAGGATTGCGTGACTTGCCCAAAGAGCGTCTACGTAGGAGGCCGACTACAACAAGAGAGGATGAAGGGAAAGAGAGTTAATCCCCCATAAAGGATTTCTTCCCAAATGTACTGTATCTCAAGCTATTTTGAGACATGAGCACGCAGTTCTTCCGTGGATAACGGTACTACGGGCATCCGCTGTGTCCTTCAAGGAAAATTTTCCCGAAAGCCGTGCAATAAATTCTTTATTGACCAAGCTTGTTCGGTCAAGATGGCTGGAAATTGGCCTCGGGTTTTTATTATNGGGGGGGGGGGGGGGGGGGCAAAAACTGAAGATATTCGTGCCTGTACCATATCACCGAAAACCCTGGAGTAAAAAGTCAAATGGTCCACCCCTCAACAAGTCCAGCCTGACTACAGTCAATGTTCCTAGACAAAGTATGGGTAAATTGAGACCTTCGTGTGTAGTCGTATCGTTTTCTTCAGGATTAAAACAATTGTTTTCAATAAACAATCGCATACCTCTTCATGACCATATTCAACTCTGAAGACTCTTGGCCACAGAGGCCATGGGTTGGTAGAACTTCTACTCTTGGGAGGTGTTCCCAACACCTCGAAATTAGTGATGCTCTTGGCATTCTGAAGGAATAAAAAAATAGATTTATACTTGCAATTTATATCCACGGCATTGACTTTATTCCTATTAGGCTAAGTACAATGATAAAGATGTCTTCCGACGAAAAAAACTGATTGCGTGATCGTTAGTTTCCCGGGCTTGCCACTTACCCTGTATCGCATAGTCGATTTAAAACACCGAAAATCTTCTGTACGTGTTTGAATCCAAGTTAATTTTGATGGTCTAGCGAACTTATCTGGGTGCCACTTTGAGTTTGGCATTAGATATTACGCTTTCAAAGGCTCAGTATCAGAGCCAACATGAGCAAACATATTAGTTTTTCAACAACTCAAAGCCCGCCCTCAGCCTGGCTACTCAAAGCCGTACGTAACTGAACTTATTGAAGGCACACTTTCCTTGTTTTCCGCGCTCAGCACTGAGCCTACTCTTTCCCGCGCTTCAGTGGCGGCGGTTATAAGTTTTCCCGCGCTTTTATAGCACCGGTTGCGGCACATTTCTACTCTGAGTTCTGATGGTATACGACTCTTGTGTGTCAGCCAAGATAGTCTATCAACTTCGTGTAATAACTGTGAAATGTACCTGTCTGAGTGAAGTTCCAATACAATCCACTCCAGTGTCTCCTCCGCCAATGATGATGACATCCAGTCCAGTGGCATCAAGGGAAGGCAAGTTGTAGTTACCTAAAACAACAGAAAACAACAAGATTGAAGCCACTCAGAAGCGCTGTCACAAGATCTAGTTTCTGGTTGATTCCTCAAATCTTATTAAATGCAAGCTACGCGGGCTAGACGTACTCTCCAAAATATCCACGTGCAGTCATTATTCATATCAAAAAGCAGGGCGATTGTTTTGAGAACTAGCTTGGTTGTCAAGGATCGTTTGTGTTCTTTAGCTCGTCTCGGGTTCGTTACATTTCACACTTTTAAAGACTAGTTGCTCAATCTACCTACCCATGAGCCTTTTCTGACAGGTTTCCAAGAATTGCATGGCGAAGTATATTCCGTCCAAATCACGGCCTACAATAAAACGGAAATTCTACCACATAAGAAAACAATAACAATCATTACCAAATCAGTTATGAAACAGTGCGTCATGTTCCTTTGAGGAAGGGCTAACGCTCGGAACTTAAGCCTTAAAGGAACTCAGCCACGGTATTTCGAGTTACTTTAGGCGCGTACACAATTACCTTTCAATGAAGGAAACCTGAAAATAAAGCTTTACTAAGATACAAAAACGCCAAAGAGATAATAATAAACCATAACGGAACAAGGATGGTTAAGGATGGAGAAGATTAAAACGGATTACCAGCGAAGAACTCTAAAATTTTAAGCTAAACTTTTCAAGATGCGCAAAAGCGTGACGTAGCTGCTTTTAACTGAGCATGAACGTACCTGGCAAAGGAATGTTACGCGGGCATGTTGAGCCCACGGCCAACAGGACAGCGTCGTTGTCTTGTAGTAGTTGTTGTGCTTCCACATTCTTTCCCACCTCAGCATTATTAACAAAGTTGATTCCTTCAGCCGCTAACAGGTCCACGCGACGTTGAACAATCTAAGGCAACCAAAGCGTACGAATTCCAGTGAGAGGTTCACAAATAACTACCTTTCTTTACATACTTCGCCCCGCAAGCAGCATTGGCACGCTATTCATGGCGTTAAGAGCGTTTGTCACTTGAGTATCATTCGCTATGGTTTTGCATCACCGCGCTTACTGATTGGTTTAAAAAATCGCTCGCCACTTTTTCAACCAATTAGAAGCAAAACTCAAACCAATCGTGACTTACAAGCACACGTTTTCCCGCGCATCGCATCGGCTACATGGATTCTCTTCAGGTTGTGATTGGTTCAGAGGATTGTCTGTTTCCATTATGATTGGCCCAAGTGATCAATTCGGTTAAAGTGAAAACCGCTCTTCCCGTCCAGCAGGATTAGAGATACTGCTAGTCACTTTGGCTCCGGAAACTGGAATTTAGCACCAGTAAAGACGAGCAATCTGACTACTACTCTATTAGGATTAAAATAGAATTTTGAACTACAAAACATCTTACTGACCTTCTTGCTTAGTTTCATCGGTGGCACGCCATACATCAACAGACCTCCACACCTGTCGTTTCTCTCATAAACTGTAACCCAATGACCAGCCTACAGTACAGAACGAAAACATAAAATAACCCCTTTTTCTGCCTACAAACAGCCTGCAGCCAATCATTCATCAATGATTTAGACTGGAATCAGATTAGCACTATAAAGACGAATTATCAAACCGGAGGATAGTGTTGTCGGCTGAGGATAACACAGAGGCGTTGAGTGCGCAGTACCTTTCTTGGTATTGTTTTGTCACCCGTTCGATTCAATCTATGAGCCTGTGTGGACCATTACAAATATACCTCGTACCTTGTTGAGCTGTGCAGCAGCTGCTAATCCTGAAGGCCCACTTCCTATAATGGCGATCTTTTTTCCTGTTCGATGAGCGGGAATCTGAAAGCGGAAAAGTGCGAAATGTTCAAAAAATCTGAAACTTTTAAAATATTATAAGAACTGCGTTTAATGCTCAGTCCACAGTGGAATTAGGGCCATCGAAAGTTTTTTATCATTTTAAGCTTGGTGAAACAAATTTGAAAAAATTCCATCCATATTGTTATGTTACGATTAAACATAACGTCACCCAACATGAAGAAAACAGACCCTGAAAGCTGGTGTACCTGTGGTGTAATCCATCCTTGTTCAAAGCCATGATCGATGATGGCACACTCAATTTTCTTGATAGTCACTGGTTCAGCATTGATTCCAAGAACACAAGCACCCTAGAAAGACGATCCAGAGGATGAATTAAGAAAAGTCAAACATCAATCATTATAAACGGAATGTTAGTTACCACACCATGTAGTTAACTTAAAGTAATTTTCACACATTGCATTGGTCTAACAAACTGCTCAATCGGTCAATCACGGAACAAGGACACACTCGTTTTGTACGCTCGTGACTTCATTTCCTAGCCGAACCTAAGAGGACTTTGATTGGCCAAGAAAATGTAAGCAATACAACGTCAAGCAGAAGGCCAACCATGCGCCCTGCTTCTCATCAACAAGACAGCCCTTCAGCATAGTTATTCACATTTTTATTTACAGCTCCAGATGTTTGTTTTTCACACTAACCTCACACGGGGCAGGGCAAACTCGACCAGTGAACTCTGGAAAGTTGTTGGTGAGCAAAAGTCGGTCCAGAGCCTCTTTCCATTTATCCTAAAAAAGTGGTACGGAGTTCATTAGTTATGAATTAAAATTTTCTCGCAAATTATTTCCAACTAGTTAAAGACTCCAGTAAACTTCGGACGATACAAAACTGTACTATTAGGCCCCTGTCCACACTACACCGGAGAACTTTGAAAAGGCAGCTTCATTTCTACGGTTAGGCTTAACAGTCCACACTAAACCGTCACGAAAACGGAGATTTGAAACCGGAGGAAATTTAAAAACGCCGGCTTTGCGTTTTAGTGCGGACGGAAAACATTTTGAAAACGAAGCTTTTCGAAAACGATGACGGAAGGATAATCACGTGATTTCCCTCTCCGCATGTTCCTCAAACACAAATCCAAAATGACCGGTGATTGTTCGGTTTTCAAATTAAACCGCCAAACGAATTACCTGGAACACCAAGTCATTCCATCTGGGGATGATGTTTCCTAAAGGACATCCAGTGTGTGACTGACAAAACGGCACTCCACACTCCATGCACCTGACAATACCAAAGAAAGTTAGTCTTCAAAGTAACTTAATAGAGCGTTGGAGGACCAAGTAAAGACGCGTTGCTCTGAAAACGGAAAAATCTTGATTTTTGGCTTTCAAAAAATACATGCAATTGTAGGTTTGGTCTACAATTCTTTAGAGTGTCTACTAAAACTATTAGACTACTCGTCTGCGTTGCTATAAGCGACAGTCGTCCGTTCATTGAAGACGCGGGCTTGTGGTCTAACGAGAGAACCTAGCAGATTCGCGCAATTTCAAACTAAAGATTTCAAGTGTCTACATATTGTTTTTTGAAGGACGGCCCAGTGTATTACTAAATCACTGAGTGATACTAATATTTTGCCTAGTTATTTGGCTGGCTCGTGAAACAATGATTGAAACTGATATAATTTCTGGGTCTATACTCACCTGGCGGCTTGAACTTTCAATTCTGTTTTTCCTTTGTTGTAATAAATCTCGTTCCAATCCTTCATTCGTTGCTTTGGGGGACGGTACTTCACCTTGCTTCTGGGGTACTTCACAAACCCTCTGTCATGAAAACAATAGAAAGATAAAGTTAAACTTTGCAACAAATATATTTTCATCAAAAGTATTTTCTCATCTCATTTGACAGTGAAACCAAACGACGAGTACGCTTAAAACAAAGCCCGACTAAGAAAGAGCCGCGTAAACCCTGGGGGCGAGAAGCGCCTTTCGCTCCTTTCGGGCGCTCCTCGCCCCCAGAGTTCGCACGGCCATTGTCAACTCGCACTTATTTTTTCGCGTCAAGCTCGAAGGACGGAACGAAAGAAGAACTTGTCCCACATCAAGTCTTTCTAATAAAATCCCTGGACATGCTTACACACTAACGCACCTGGTTTTATCTAGCACTCTGTCCATAACCTTTTGATCATTTGTTGTGTCGGGGATGGCTTCCTCAATATCAGCTAAACTGGAATCTGTTCCTTTCTTGACTGGAGGTGGTGAGTCGTCCTGTTTTAACCCATTCGTCTTTTCTCCGTTTGTTTTTTCGCCATTGGTCTTCTCTCCGTTTGTTTTCTCTCCATTTATTTTTTCACCATTGGTCTCGTGGTGAGTTTCGTTCTTGAGTTTCTAAGGACGGAGAACAACCCTTCAATATATTGCATCACCAAAACGCCAACACAAAAATGACGAAATGAATACCCATGTCAAAGCAGTTGATCTTCCTGTGTTGACCTACTGCTATCTGGAGTTCAACTCCTCGACCTTGTTGTGTAAATACCTAACTGGTCAGCCTCCCACCAGTTGGGATTCTTTATAGTTTATGTTCTATTTGAAATATTTGTTTAGTTTTTTCACAGAGTCCCCAAATAGCACAACAGTGTTAAATACATCTGACACTTTAATAAAGTTATTTATCTATTTACTTATTTAACAAAAGAACAATTCTTTTGATAACCTTCAACAGTGTCATCACCTCCCACTATAACTGGACTATGAAACAAACAGACACCAAAAGGAACAATCACAAATGGGCCGCATTGTAGACTTCTAGGTCAACCAAAGAACCAACAAACCACGAGAGCAATTTGAAGACACGTGCCTCCTTTAACTTCTCCTTCCACTAGGATAACCTCTTTTTTATTGGCCAGGCGATAGAAAACTGACAAAAATAGTTTACAAATTAAAAAAAAGGGTTAAAAAGGTGAGAGTCACATGTATGTGTGAAATACTGAACTTACCTCAGCTTCCTCCTCTTCTTTCAGTTGCTGCAACGCTCTTTTGTAGTCACGAGGAATCACCTATCGCCAACAAAATAAACATAACACGATCAGTGAAAAACAGCAACAGCTAAGGGCCACACGTTTACTTTTCACACATCAAAAGTAAAGCTGGCTATCATTCCTCCAGTTCGAGTGTTGTCATATACCGGTCCAAAGGAACAAAGGTTTTATGTAAATGTAATAGTGTACAAATTTCCTCGAGTGTAAAGTGAAGGAATGATCATCAAAGAAAAAATTAATGGTATAAATTGCCACAAACTCTCCCTTGTCTAACTGTACCTTAACAAACATATTCACAGAGCTGTCCCAGTCCTCTAGAAGACGCTCGGCCACAGTCGAACCAGTCAGCTGTTGATGTTCTCGTACCAGTCCCTTAACCAGTTCTACATCTGCGCCAGTAACAGGCTCCAGGTCTACAATCTCTTGATTACACCGCGAATAGAAGCTCTTCTTCCTAAACATCAAGTAACAGTAGTGATTACTCAACAATTGGTAGATTCTGAATGATCCAATGACTACAGGTTACGTGACCAAAAACTGTGTATTGGAACTATCACCATAAACAATCTTTTTTTCGTTGACGAAAACAGAATTAGACTTGGAATTAACCGCTACAAAAGTTTGCTATTTTGACCGTTGTCATTCAGTCATCCCCAACTTACAGTGCGGCGACTTCAGCTGGGGTATCCGAGAGTTTTTAACTAATCACATCAACGAGTTTCAACGAGTTTGTTGTGATCGGACCAATCAGTTGGTAGAACGGGAATATCAGCTGTTGGAACACATTTTAATAGGCCATATCCGTCTTCTCGGTATAGGACTGGAACTAGCTTGCAACTGAGGCTAATGCGAGGAGTCTTTTCAAATACAAATGACATTCATCTCATTTTAATGATATGCCCCCGCATGAGCCTCCATTCCAAGCTAGTTCCAGTCCAATACCGTGAATACGAATATGACTTATTGGCTGCGAATTAAGTTCAAATTTCGCTGACTTGAACAGCGCCCTGGTCCTATTTGATTTGTGCAATAGGTTCTCTATAGCAAATACAAGGGACAGTATTAATCACATTTCTTCACCCAGACGTTAAGAAAATGTTCTTGTATGTAAAGGATATTTAGTCACTACACCTACTGGACTAATAGAAACGACAGAAATGCTTGTGAGTCCATTACCTGTCAAGCACAAAAGCTATTCCTCCTGACATTCCAGCAGCGAAGTTTCTACCAGTAGGACCAAGAACAACGGCCACACCTCCTGTCATGTACTCACAGCCGTGATCACCAACACCCTAACAATAAGACCAACAGATTAATCACAGAAGTAGTAGTGTGCTTCAGTTAGACAGAACTAAATGCCATTGCCACTGAGGTTGGTAAACAACAAAGCTTACTGTCATAGCAACGTGACGGACTAAACAAGGAGTCATTAGAAAATCCTCGCTGAAATACCAAATGAGTTTTCTCACCCTACGATCAGAAAGAACATTGTCGCGTCTATTTGTTGTAGTCGAGATATAAACCTGTGTTTTCTTGTATCTTTTGTTTTTGAGGAACAAAAAGTTTAATTCAAAATTAAGTTTTTTGACAACTGCCTTGGTTTGGTTTAAGGTCCTACAACAGTCAATCGGGCGTAATAATTTCTTCAGCCTCGTTCCCAGGGTCCTCTCCTTTCCTTCCTCGAGAGAGGACCCTGGAAACTAGATTGTAGTTTCTTAGGACAACGAAAAGACAAGTTAACTTGCAGACTACAAACAAAAAAACAAAACTTGGGAAGAAAAGGAAAATTGACAGGATATACTGAGCAAAGTAACCTTATCGCAAAAAAGTGAAAACCGAACTAACCTCGACAACTGCTGTGACTCCGGAATTCCTCACACAAAACCGTTCAGCAGCAATGCCTCTCACAAAGGCCTAAAAATATTTAAACAGAGAGAGCTAATTTTTCTTCCAGACTCAGATCCTTCAATAGCCAAAACAAAAATATTCGCTCTCTGGAAATACAGCCATTTTGACTAAATGCAACCTTTACCTTGCCTGCAGTTGAGCCGTAGAAACAAACATTTCCCACAATTATGTTTTCTTCCGCTTTGTAGTTTTCGGGATGCTTGCTGCTTGGATAAACGATAATTTTGCCTCCAGCTAAACCCTGAAGATTAAATAATTGGGGTCGTGTTTCATGAAATGCGTATGCAACAACTCGACATACCTCGTACCCTTTCAAAAGCAATAACGAATTTATCCAAAAGCGAAACTCAGCTTGGTTTAAACTATGGTTACCTTGCCAACGTAATCATTTGAGTCACCCTCCAGCTCCAAAGTTATACCAGGAGAAAGGAAAGCGCCGAAACTCTGACCTAACGAGAATCAAAAAGACGCAACTGAGTACATGGCAACTTGTGAACCGCACGCACATGCACCTTACAAAAGAAAAGAGATAATGATCGATAGAAATTCATCGCGGTTTTTTTTTTTCCACAATTTAACGATTTTATGTTTCAAAGGTACTGTACTGACCTGCAGACCCTGTTGCTTTGATGTGAATGGTGCCATCTGGAAGACCTTTCTCGCCAAATTTCCTGACAAAAACACATTCACTTCAATATCTGGTGTGACGGTGAGGTATAAAGGTATAGATTAACAGGTCAGGCTTCAAGCTTGATCAACCTCCAAATTTTAAGCTCTTTGGGGTCAAACTTTCTTCTTATTGCCTCTCACTACTCGAAAGTCCCACAACCTATAAAAAACTTATAAGGATTCACCAATTCGGCAGCATGGTATACATTTTTGTGCTGGGATCTTTAAAAGTCTCCATTTTTGCTCTTCCCCACCAAAAACGATATAGTTGCGTTTTCCGTATTTTCACCGCGTTTTCTTCGGCGAACACAATAAATGCTTGCCATTGTGTTAGCATGAATGATAATGAAAACGCATCACCGAAGAAGCATAACAGTAATCCTTGATGATGCCGTGGATCATCGAAAGCTTGAAACGTCCACTTTATTATATACAGTAGTTTAAAAGCCTCATGCCTCATGATAGTGCTTTCAAATAAAAACCCACCGCAGCATTAGCATTATATTCATTCACCTTGCAATGTGATAGCTGAGAGTGGTGCCAAATGCTCGGTCCACGTTCACCACTGGTATCTCCAGATACAGGTGCTTTGAAGCTCCGTTCAGAATGTCTTTAGCAGCTTCAATGAGCTGGTTGTCCTGCAAACATTTAAAAAACAACTCTCGATTTTGCTCTGTTAATAAAAACTTAAAAACGCCAAGTGTCCGTACTCACATGGGACATAATTCATGCTAAAAGATAAAAGCTTCACGGGATGATAAATTTTATAATATAACCAACAATGAAAAAAATATTGGCCATTTCTCGAAGATTTCCAAAACTTTTATTCTAACAGTCATTTGAAAAGTCCCGCAAACGATGTTAATCATTTTCCTAAAATTCCCAACTGAAGATTACCAAAGACTTCCGAGAGAGATCTGAAGATGTGATCGTTGCAGCAGCGGCAGTTTGTCATGACCCACCTTTCGTAGCTCTAGTTTGTGATTTTGCGGCTCACTTCCTCCCAAGTGATCACCAGGGTTCAATTCATTACCAGTCATTAGCAGAGGACTGAAGTCCAACAGCTGTAAACACCAAACAAGGTTAGGAAACAGAGAAATAAGTCTCTCTTTTCTGCATATTCGTCAACAAAAGATTGGTTAGAAAAAATCCAGAGTGAAAAGAATAAAGTGCAAAGAGACAAGAAGTTTAGTGGATCTACCTTGGTATACAAATTAAACGTACCTTAACTTTGGCATTGAGGGGTTCTGCTGGCTCCAGGAGGTCACAACGTCCAATCATATCATTCAATTTGCGGAAACCCATTTTAGCCATGTACTCACGAACCTAACAATAGAAAAACATTATTTTCTTTCACAACCTTAAAGGTTCCATCTAATCTGATTCTCGGGATCTTTGAATAAAGTAGAACATAATACAATAATGACTTAGTAATTATTTACGAGACTGGAGTTATGTCAATAAGACGTCTGTTTTATGTTAACGTCAATCGACTCGACATTATTTGTGTTCTCTTACCTCCTCAGCTAACATGAAAAAGAAGTTGATGACATGCTCTGGTTTGCCTGCAAACTTCTTCCTTAATACAGGGTCCTGCAATGCATTCAAGTAGTTCAACAATGAATATAGCTAACAGCAATATTATTCTTGACAGAGGATAATGTATTAGCAGGGAGCTCGTGAGAATATTAGTTATTATAATCCATCAAATATTTTTGCTCGCTCACAACTGCTCAAAATGCGTCACATGACTGAATATGCCCCAGCTTAAACTGGGGAATATCCGAGTGATATGCCTCAAAATGTGTTGTCAAAAATTTTTGAAGGATAATAAACATTTGCGGCCGTATGCCCCACAGGAGGCTATAAGGAAGTATGATGATGATAATAAACACAATAGCCTCCATTTGGCCCAAAGATATGCTCGAATATTGTCTGTTTATCAAAAAGCTCACAATTTTCCTTGAGCTACGATCTGGGATCACTGTTCGCTTCTCGGAACAGATAATGAATGGGGACAAATATCTGAGCATATTTTCGCGCCAAAAGGAGGCTATTGCTTCTATAATTAAAGAGGGTTCTCTACACATGTACAAAGACATTTTCTCGTTTTTGTCACGGCAATCTTTGTTTTTATGTAAGGAGGGGGGGAGGGGCATCCCTTAAAACCAAAAAGTTGAAAATTGACCAAAACACCAATTTGTATGTCAAACGCGTCAACGCTGATTAGTTATGTGTTAGTTATGTGGAGATAACAAAAAAAAAAAATACTGGGTTTTGAGTATAAAAGAAAGTCGCTCAGTGACCTGTGTGGCGATTCCAACAGGACATGTATTCAAATGACATTTCCTCATCATGGTACATCCTAAGGCAATGAGAGGAGCAGTAGAGAATCCAAACTCATCAGCACCCAACAGTGCACCAATCACCACATCACGACCAGTCCTGATCTGTCCATCAACCTGAAGCACCACTCTCCTGCGCAGGTTGTTCAGTATAAGAGTTTGATGGGTCTCGGCTATGCCCAGTTCCCATGGCAACCCAGCATGTTTGATGCCTGACCACGTGCTCGCTCCTGTTCCACCATCATGACCAGAAATTACGATGTGTTCAGAGTGACCCTGGTGAGTACCAATTGCGTCATTAATGCAACATTAAAACGGATTTGCAAGGTACATATGAAGAGAGGTTAGTTGGCTGTCATATTTCTGCACATTGTTACTTTCTGGAAATTGTGTACAGACTAAAATGTTAAGCACATGCTCTTCCACGCACTTCAGCGTTTCTGGAGATAAGGAAGCATTTCATTTCCAAACATTTCCTAATAAGTGTAGACAATTAAAATGATACGAAAGTGAAAGATGAATTGAAAATATTTTATCTATTTTTGTCCTCCGTGAAGATGCTGTCTTGAAATTTATCTGGGTTATAAGCATCGATGAGGATGGGGCCTGAGCTCTGTGTGATAAAAATGGATTTAAAATGAAGAAAAACTTAACAAGATCTGCAACAACACAGAAAGAAGTAAAAACCTTGGCAACTCCTGCAGCAATTACACCCACTCCCACTTCAGACACCAGCTTCACACTGACTCGAGCTTGAGGATTGGAACACTTCAAATTGTAAATGAGCTGAAACAAAGCAAATACAAACGGTGACACAGTTGATCTTGTTATAAGATTACAGTTCATATATCAGCTCAACACCCAAGTAAATCTGAAGCTGACTCACCTCAGCCAAATCTTCAATGGAGTAAATATCATGATGAGGTGGAGGGCTGATAAGGCCAACACCAGGCACAGACTTGCGAGTCTTTGCAATTTCTTTAGAGACCTATCAAGATATATTCAAAACAATAACCGGAGTAGCGATATCACTCTCATGATTATTATCACAATACTTTTCTAAGGATTGCGAGCTTTGTAATAGGTAGTCTTAATGCTGGATCACGAATTCCCAGGAAAAAACTGTAGTGTTGTGAAGCCACTGAGGCACGCCACAAAGGTTAAAACACATCCTTTAATCCGAGCGTACTAAGTACACGTCCACTCCCGGTCGCTGTTCCCGCTCACACACACTCACACAATTCACGGTGGCACATGTCCTTGTCGGTACAAACTTTGTCCTAAGATACACTACAAGAACCATTGAATAAGCAAAATGGTTTTGCTAAGTAGAAGCATAACATTATAAAAACTGACTTCCACGTACCTTATATCCAGGTAACTCTCCTCCTTCACCAGGCTTGGCTCCCTAAAATGAGACAAGCTTTCATTACACTGTTTCATTACATTGTAGAGGTGAGGTCTGATATGAAACTGCTATTGCTCACACTTACAACTCTCATGGCTATACATTGCTTAGTCCAATTGCTGTTATGGACCACATCAACATCTACCCACATCAGTTTTGTCACCCCTTGTTTTAAAATCTTGTCCTTTGCTAGCAAACCACTAAGGCCATAAATTTCACCTTTCGCCAATTTTTCTTTCTCTAGCCTCTAGCAAGAGACAAACATTGTTTTCTGACTTGTTTTGCTTCATCTTCCAATTTGAATATTACTTCTGAAGATTAGTTTGTATTACTCACGATAATACTGAGTGTGTACCTGTGCCATTTTAATCTGCAAATCTTCAGCCATTGCAAGATACCAAGCATTTACTCCAAATCTTCCAGAAGCCACTTGTCTGATGGCAGACCTGGTGTTGTTGTCACTTCCTCTCAAGGGATCCTCACCACCTTCACCTGTGTTACTCTTACCTCCAATCCTGGATATGAATAACAATGTAAGTCAGAACAAGTTCACAATTTATCTAACAACGCTCCGTCCAGGGCTTTCATCAACGTTTTCAACAGCAGGGAAACTGGTTTTCACAGGTGGGCAAAACTTTTTCAACTAAACTTCTTTAAAAGAAAAACTTTCCTCTAGATGGTCAAACCAGGCAGGCAAAATCATCCTCTCAGTCAGTCAATATTTGCCAGGTGCTTGGGCCTTAATGAAACCTGTCTCGCATTAAACAGTGTACTGCTCTGTGACTGTTGCAGAAATACATGGAAAGGCAGTTAATTTGTTTCAGATGAAAAATTCCTAAGTTGTTTAGTCAAAAACCTGGTAAGATCAGCAAGCTGACCCAACAGATTAAAGGAAAACTAATTAAACGAATCTTACTCAGCAATGCTGGCTAATGGTGCAAATCAAGTGATAAATTAACTACAGTAATAAATGATAAATAATAATAAGTGATAAATTATATATCTTGTTTGACAGCAAATGGAAAGCCAAGGGCAAACCTACTCACTTGTTCATGGCCATAGCAAGGGTTGAGTGAGTCTCATACGAAATGGAACCAAAACTCATGGCACCTGCAAAAAAAAAATCAACAACTTATCACCATGACAAACTACTTTAATTTGCAACATGTTCTAACTTTATACATTCACTTCATAGAAGGCATCCAAGTCTCACGCCTCAAGTCTCAGCTAGGGTTGTGTTAGACTCCTATGCAGATGCTCTTTGGTGAGGAAGATTGGGTGACAAGCCCAAAGAGTGGAGGGTGCTAGGGTCGTGTAAGTAAGTTTCAACTGCAGAAAATATTGTATATTGTAAGTTAACCACAATGAAGGTAACCCTCTAGTTTTAAATGGTCTTTAAAACCAGATATTTGAAACTAAATTGCACCTTTTGGGCATGCTTCGGCCACATATCAGGCAAGTCATGCCCTACTTCACATTTTGGCAAGACGCATTTAGGACAAAATACTCAAGGTGAGACCAAACGAGCCTGATACAATGTATGCCATGGAAGCATAAGACAATGATTAAGTTAAGTATTAACCGTGCCCAAATGAAGCCAATAATCTGGCCAAACAGGAAGTGACTTGATAACATGGGATATCAGGACAGTAGATAAACCTTCTGATTGGCTAATTACGAATATGGGTACTTAAGGTAAATGAGCACACAGGTGTATGCTATACAAATGTTTTTAGTTATATCCTACCTGTCACAAATCTCTTGACAATTTCTGAAGCTGGTTCCACTTCAGATATGTCCAAGGGTTTCTTGGCAAATTTGATCTGCAACTGTCCACGCAGTGTGCAGGAACGAACCTACAACAGAATGTTATTAAGAAATGAGCAAAATGTTTACGAACTTACAGGTATTTGAAATAGCGGGCAAGATTAATTGAAAGTAAATATTTGCTCACCACTTCGATGGAGGTCTCACTATACTTCTGGTAGGAAGGTTGATTCTTCATCCTTACTGCATCCTGATAGAACAATTATACAACAGCATTGAAAACAAAGAAGACTTGAAATGTGCCTTCTGGTGCTTCAAGATAAAATGAGATGACTGAAAACAAACAAGCCAGTAGCAACAAAGCAGTTCAAGCCCCTTCTTGCCCCAACAGTGAACTGATGATCTATAAGAAAGAAATTCCAAGCGATACTGCTTCTTTTTTCCCAATTTTTGTTTTCATTTGTACAAGGAAAGTGTCAATGCTTGACCAGAAACACCTTTCCTTTATCATTTACTGAAACTAACCTGCAAGTTTGCAATGCATCTTGGATCATTAATGTGCTTTTCTCCACCTTCACGCCAGTGATATTCACCCTAAAGGAAATGCAATCATGATGATTAATCATCTTAGTCAATGTACTTAATTACAAACTGTATCTCTTGAATTTCAAGGTTTTAAAAGCTGTGTTATCACTAGTCTCACAATTTCGAGCAATCAAATTATCCACTGTACCTTATTGTTTACCAAGACATTGTCACAGTCACGATCAGAAAATGCAACACTGTGTTTGCTCAGAGCCTGTAACAGATGTAAAAACAGTTTTAAACCACTGATGGAACTTACAATATTACTTTGTAGGGGTTTTATTCAGGGCCCAGCAAAGAGTAGGCAAACTGACTGGCTTTGAGGATGATTTTGCCCACCTGGTTAGACCACCTAGAGGAAAGTTTTACTTTTAAAGGAAGTTTGGTTCAAAAAGCTTGGCCCGCAAGTTGCAAGGCATGGTCCTAACCATGAAATCCTGGCTGCTCAGCACTTAAGCTTATAAGAAAAAAGTATGTTTTTGTAGTTGCACAAAGTCAAAAGTTAGTCCCCTGGGCACCCGGGCACTCCTAGAGCACAGCCTTGTCTGCTTGTGAAAACCAGTTGCCTTACTGCTGAAAACATCAATGAAACCCCTAACGCTGTAAGTAGATGTAACATTCCTGGACTTCACTATATTTTACTTAGTTACTGAACAGCATTGTCCTTTATTACGGTTGTCAAAAGTAGCCGGCAGCCGGTGAAAATCACCATCAACTTTGTGATATCAGGCAGCTATTCTACTGTGTCATTCATCAGACTCTTTGAAAAGATAGCAAAATCAACCACCAACTCCAAAAATAAAGCTAACTACTTCAAAACGACAACACTGCTTAACAAATTATCACTAAGAGTACTGGAAGTACATACCTCTTGAGCTAAGACTGTAAATGTTGCTCCACTCAGTCGTGACGCTGTTCCCACAAAGCACTTGTCTATCACCTTAAGAGAGAATTACATCGGATTACAGGTGATAAACCAAACCATTTTTGAAATGCAAAACTCCTTCAACTACTAAGGCCATCCATAACAGAACAATCCCCTCCCACCGCCCCCCCTCCCTGCCAAAAGTAATAATAATAATAAAGGCTGTTTAAAAGTCAGGGTTTATTATAGGAAATTTAGGGTATTTACACAGTTGGAAAAGTCCTCTAACATGCAACATCCAATGTGGAAAATTCAAACAACTTTATTTCCTTGAATGATCTTAATCTATTGATACAGTTAATTTACACGTTGATCTGAAGGATAAACAAGTCATCTGTTACCTCCTCTGCAAGTCCAACAGCTTCAAATATTTGAGCACCCTGTAAAATAATAAACAATACTCATGATACTGAAAACAAGGCATCACAAACAAGGTGTTCATGAATCAAGACTGCATTAGAATTTGAAGCACTGTTTTTGTAGAGGAAAACCAGAGAACCCGGAGAGGAACCCTTTGAGGAAGGATGAGAACCAAAAACAGCAACTCAACCAACCTATGATGGCAGGTGCACAATTTAACCCGGGCCATTTGGGTGGAACGCGAAAGCTCTCAACAGTACACCACCCTAGCTCCCCAAAAAAGAATGATACTATTTTCACCAGCCCATGAATCAAGCTAGGGTCAATTGCATCATTATTTTGTAAGGTACCTCATCACTACACCAGAAAGGTGCTAGCTAAAACTAGTCACAATAACTGGAAAGGAAACAATTACTGCTTCCTTGGGTAACTTCTTATGGAAGCCTCGACAGTTGTGACTGCCGTAACTATTTTATGCCACATCTACAAGTACTTGCCTTGTAACTGTGTAGAGTAGAAATTCCCATTTTTGCCATGACCTTAGCAATACCCTTCCGTACAGCAGCAGTATAGCCTTCAACGATATCTTTGTCTGAGAGAGGAGGGTCCAGCAGTCCTAAGAGAATTTTCAACATAGCTTCATTTTTAACCTGACAATTTTGAGGATGAAAATCAATGACAAATTGAATTATTGAATTTGAACAACAGATTTTTTAAGGTAGTAAAACTCAGCTAATAAATTAGTAATGTACCTTGATCACGCTGATTTGCAACAGTCTCAAAAACCAAGTATGGGCAAACGGCATCTGCTCCGTAACCCAACAGAACACAAAAATGATGGATTTCTCTGTAACAAACAATGTAAACAAATACAGTGTATTTCTGCACGTCAAAAATAAAGCTGTGGTTTGGTAATTAAACAAAATGCTAACACACTTTTCATTTCAGCCCACCCCTGGGGCAATTACAGACAACAAAAGAATCCATAGAAAAAAGCCTGGAATAGACAAAAACGTTCTCTAACAAGTTTAATTAATCCTCTAAGAGAAACTAATATACTTGACTAACTGAAATAGTGATTTTAACGAACAGTGGACTTCAGTAACTCCTACCTCACTTCAGCTGATTCAACAACTAGTCCAACTTGTGACCTTTGCTTCATTCTGATCAGGTGATGATGGACAGCCCCTAATGACAGCAGTGAGCTAAAACAACAAAATAACAACAATCAGGAAGGATGTCCATTCCTGACAAAAAACCATCTCATATTTATGTCTTCCACTACAACAAAATTAACAGTTTCACTTCACAAGCATAGCCATTGTACTAGTCAAAGTCTGTTTGTCTATAGAAGATGCACCATGCACATCTCAGATGACTTGACAGAATCTACTGTACTAAGAAACCAGTAACCTGGCCCTGAAAACAATAGTGTGTTATACTGGGAGTGAGTGAAACTGGAAGCTCTGAACTGGTGCATGGCTTCTGAGCTTTAATCAACAATTACTACACAAAACAACTTTGTACCTCTACTAAGCCAAGTCTACCTTAAATATAGGGGACTAAAAGAGCTAAATGGCTGAGTCATCAGAGGCAACAAAGGAGCATTGTCCATTACAGGTTATACCAAAGGTTATCTCAATCAATAACTCCTATCTCATGCTCCACCCTGCTGACACTTGGAGGGAAAGTGCCATTTTGCTTAAACACACAATACTTGTACGCATTTCAGCTAACCTGGCTTGAGACCAGATCTTCTGATCTGAAGCCAAACACAATAAATGCTAAGGTACTACGCTACTACCTCATAGGAACATGTTTTCTTCCAGCAGCTCGGTCAGTTAACACAATAAATGCACATCCATTCTCTACAGCTTCAGAGGCCTAAACCACAGAGAAGAAAGCATCAGTCATGATGAAGATAACAAATCTCTTCAATTACATGCAACCCCAAAGCAAGCCATTCTTTATATTTATTGCTGTACAATGGCAATCCAGAAAATGTCAAGCTGTTCCCTCTTAATTTCAACAAAATTTCTGTACCACTGTGTTACATGTATATGTTATGGGTGTCCATGTTTAACAAGAAGCTACCAGAACTAGCCTGTGTAAATCGTCCAGAAATCAAATTCTTATTAACTATTAATCACTTAGTATATATATCAATCTAGTTGTTTCAAAGTTAAAATACTACTTTGTCTCAAAATCTTAACTTAAGACTTGATTTGGTCTAATCAGATTTAACTCACCTCTTTACAAATTCTATCAATTGCAGGAACAAGACCATTGACTCCCTCATCCACGGGGTAAACCATGTCAATAGTCTGAGACTGAAACAACAAGATGTGACGTTACAACACATCCTTGTTCTTTAAGTTAAGGATAAATCAATACACTTAAGATTCATCGCTTGATACATACTTTACACCAAGACAAACAGCTTCCTTTGATGGCCTCTACATCTGCGCAAGACAGGATAGGATGATCCAAATACACTCGGTGACACTCTGCCACATTAGGCTCAAGAAGGTTAGGCTCTGGACCAACAGGGCATGCCTAAAAGAATGAAACAACATCATTACATTAATCATTGCTAGTTCACATGAAATTGTTCAGGCATTACAGTTTTAATATTGGACAGGGACTTAATTGCCATTCTCGCTAATTGCTTTTGACAGGAATTTTTTTTCTATCATTAACAACTACATCACTAAATTGAGGTTGGGTGCCTGAAAAATCCAGGAGCTTCCACTATTGGCAGCCAGCCCCTGGATGGAGACCCCTCCCATGGCAAGCAAATCCTGGAAACCGAGCCATGAGCCCCCATGCAGAAGGGGGAGACAGGCACCTGTGACACTGACTAACGGTGGAAAGAGGAAGGGAAGGGAGGGAGAACACTTGAAGATGTGATCCCATGCAAAACAACGCTCACTGCAAATGCTATCGCTGAGAAGGCTGCCAAAACGTCTCAGCCCAAGAGTACAAGGAATCCAGGTGCATGCACACATCAAAAACACTGCTGACTACCTCGGGAATGCAAGTGCTCTTTGTCGTTAACTCTGATAAACTGTATTCAACTGCATATAATAGAACTGGAAAAAAGTGTATAACATGCATTGAAGTTTGAGTGACAAGGTAACACTGCCTTACCAGTGACATGACAATTTTCTCCCGGATTGGATCAATGGGAGGATTTGTCACCTGACGGAAGAAAAAAAGGCAACATTAAACACATTTGTGTACACAAAACACAGTGCAGCTGTGCACATTACCTCTCACTACACTTCATTACATTGTTTGTGATGTACTATATGTAGTTGTAAACACTAGAACAACAGAACAATGCTAAACACACAAGTTGTAACAATTTCCAGAGAACATTAAGTTAGAACAATAAGAACATATTTGTGATTAATACTTTCATTAATGATTGATGGCATCATACCTGTGCAAAAAGTTGCTTGAAGTAGTCAAACACTGACTGTGGGTACATTGTCAGACAGGACAGAGGTGCATCGTTACCCATGGAACCAAGAGCCTCTTTCCTAAGGAAAACAAAATAGTTATTTTAATGCAACTTTAGCATGAAACAACTCTAGAGCTGTTGTCAGGTACTAATCTCTTGGACAACATTTGGTCACGTTACCAAAACATTTTACTGCAGTATCTAGTCATTCGCAAACATAACTTATCATGAACTTTTTTAAAGAGTGGAAGGGCAGCATTGGCACAAGGTCAGGATGTACTACTGACCAAGCACAGGTGAAATGCCTGAACTGCGCACACTAACTTGACTGTTGGCACGTTTAAGGCTGGCTGGCTTTTTCCAGACCAGCTCAAAGAAACATCTTCAGCCCTACATGCATCAATTCTCATTATGTTTTCCTGTAGGAAATTCGTGAGCCGGGCCATACAGTGGCATAACAGAACTAGCCATCATTTCTTATGTATTTCAGGACAAGCTACTGCAAAAGTTTTGTTTTAATTGAAACTAACTTGTTTTTGACCATTGGCAATATCAGTAAGTTCAGATCCTCCAGAGAATAGCCAAACATGGGCAACCTCCTGTCTCTGTGAATCAACTCATTTTCGGAGGGGTGCTGAATCAATTGCACTTCACCAGCAGAAAGGCTCTTAGAGGTCTGGTATGCTTGGTGGATATCCTCCAGTGTCCTGACACTTTTCTTGAGCAGTTCACTACAAGGTCGCAAACTGGCCATCTCATGTTTTAGTTCATGATCCTCAACCACAGAGCCCATTGCTGTGTCCACAAGAAGCATTCTTCCTGGTCGTAAACGACCCTAAGTTGAAGAGAGAAAGCATTATTAATAATAGTTACACTCAGGACTAGTTTGCATGAGATACTCTCTCCCTGGGGAGAGGGACTGGAGAAATACGTGTAAGAGGTAATGCTAAATTATTTGAATTCTATTTTTAGATGGTGATCTGAAAAAAAAAAAAAAAACTGCATTGCAGTGGCTCATCAGAGATTTTGCGACCTTCAACAATCCCTCCATGGCCACATTAGTATCATTTTTCCAGAATTGTAGGGACAATACTGGTGCCGTCAAACTAACAGGGTTGAAAACTCATGAGATGCATTCAGCCTTATAAACAGGTTCATTTGTTAAATTCTTACCTACCTTTTGTACAATTTCTTGATCAGGGAAAGTGCTGACTCCTACTTCACTTGCCATTACCATGAAACCCTGTTTCGTCACATAGTATCGTGACGGACGCAGACCATTCCTGTCTAGAATGGCTCCAATATACCGCCCATCAGAGAATGTGAACAAGGCTGTGGATGAGGAAGGGAATAATAAATTAACTATCATGCAACTGATAAACTTGGCTACTTTGCTGAGAGCAAATCAATCTCAATGATAAGTAACAGCACGCAAAATGTAAAATAACTATTTTATCATATAGCTCCAGATAAAAGAAGCGGGTTGTTTACTGTGCTTTCAGAGGGGCAATAGATATTTCAGGAGAAGGGTAGTTTCAAAGCCAAAGAGGCTAAACTGGAATTTCCAGAAGGCTAAGAAGGCTTGTCTGGGAGGGTTAAGGATATTAATTTCAACAGAACAACAACAGTTGTATTTCAGCATTATACTTACCAGGACCATCCCACGCCTCCATTGTACAGGAGATCCAGCGATAAAAATGTTGTTTTTCCATACTCATCAGACTGTTCCCTTGCCAAGCTTCTGGCACCATTGTCATTATGGCCTGGAGAAGAACATCATTTGATTACTTGCAGCATAGAGAAGACTGGCATAAATTACAACACCTTTTTATAACCAGCACTATTTTTGTATTTACTACACTTTTGAAAATCATGTGAACTCTTAAGTTCAAAACCTAACCAACAATGGCATAATTTTATTGCTGCCCTCAATCATAATTAATCATAACCACAGTAAACAAATGCTAAAATAAAAGAGATGAAGAAAATGGTTTGGAATCCACCAGTTACAACTCAGAGATGCGATTTAGAACACTTTGAAGTATGCATCTGGTCCATAAGGGGTTTACTAAGATGACTGATAGCAAAGGAAAACAAAGCTGTTGGTTGAGATTTAAATTTCCAAGTTTACAGAGTTTTGAAAAGTGTAGGTAAGAATAAGAGTTATTATAAATGATTTCAATTTTAAACTTTTCATGAACATAATTTTATTGTAGGAAGGTAGCTCTGGGAAGTGGTGGTGGTGAATAGTCAAACCATACCTCTGGAAGTGAGCGGCCTCCTGCCATGACAAGAAGTTCAAGCACATTATCAACGCAACCAGAGTCTGACAGGTCTGCTTCTATAACTGGAAACAGGCTGGTGGAATCAAAAAAAAGAGAAAGAAACACATTTCAGCTTCAAACTTTTGCACACTTGTGGGTTTTTTTTTTCTGACAAGAAGTTCAAGCACATTATCAATGCAACTAGAGTCTGACAGGTCTGCTTCTATAACTGGAAACGGGCTAGTGGAATCAAAAAAAAGAGAAAGAAACACATTTCAGCTTCAAACTTGTGGGTTTTTTTTCTTTTTAGCAATTAGAGTATAGTACTTACTTTTGTGTGTTGCTGCCATAGTACTTGCTGAACATGGTTCCCTCTCTTGTGTTCATGTTGTTAATGTTCCCTCTTATCGTGTTGATCTCTCCATTGTGGGCTAGATATCTGAAACAGCAAACAGGGAACTATTGTCAAGGCTATAGTGCAACAACATTCTTAAATGAAGAACATACTAATACAAAATTTGGCTAGGAAAGTGCATTCCAGGTATGTAAATCCCTTTAACTCAACATGTCTTATTGCTGCACATTGAAATAGTATTGTATCTTGCTCCCAGCTGAGCTGCTTAGTTCATTACAGTGTATGTTTATTCTCATCACCTGTCCTCTTGAAAATATATTGCAATCGTAAGGAAAAGTTAGATTTCAATCAGACTCGAGTCAGATTAAAGGGTTACTTAGAAACATATAGCAATCAAATGTTCCAGGAAGCATAATTTATTCAAAATGGCTTCACTGTAACATTACATGTTCTTAAAACAAAACTTATTATATTTTTAAACAATTACTGCTTGAAGAAATTAAATTTTACTATGCTATACTATGTACTACAATGAACTTCAAATTACAAACTTAGCAGAACAAACCTGTTTGGATGAGCTCTCTCCCAACTTGGAAATGTGTTTGTTGAAAATCTACCATGAACCAAGGCAAAGTGGGTCCTGCACCAAGATATTTACCAACATGTGTCATTATGGAAAATAGCTATTATCAGAAATCAAATAATGTAAATTTTCCTTTTGCTTTTCCCCAAAAAGAACAACCAACAATTGTACAAAGTGGAAGGCAAAGCCCATTTCTGGGAAGTTTCCATACCAAACATTAATTTAAACAAAAAATGCATAGTATAAAACATGTCATGTCATGTTTTATAATGTGAGTTCAATGACCTACATGTACTGTAAATGCTGCTCAATATCATACAAAACAATTTTCTCACCAGTAATCCTCAGAGTGTAGATCAGGAAAAAAACCTTTAAGCTGTGTTGGTTTCAACATTCCCTGAAGAAAAGATAGAAAAAAAAAAGATCAAGCAACTATTATCAGCTGACTTAGTTGACTTTAAAGCATGATTAAATACCAATCCTATCTGTTTGAGAATTATACCTTATAGACAATTGTGTCACAGGATAAGCTGCAGATGTAAAATCGTCGATTTTTTGTACCAATCCTATTTGATGCCATTTTTCTCAAGAGATAAACCTAGAGAAGAAAAAATTTAATTGAAAATACAAGAGTGAGATTGGGAGAGCCACATGACCAAAACTTTGCAAAGCACTATATTATTACAATCTTCCACAAATAATGAATTTAAATTATCAATTGGAAATCTTTTTCATCAGCAAATGTTACAGAACACATGCATTGCCCTAACCTGGGTACCTAAGGGAAAGAGGAGTAGAGGTTGACCAAAGAAGACATGGAGGAGAACTGTAGAGGGAGAGGGGCAGAAGATAGGTTTTGCCACTTGGAATGAAGCTGTCACCATTGCAAGAGACAGAGCAGATTGGGAGAGACAAGTCAAAGGCTCTATTCAGGACCCCAGTGGCTAAGGGAAGGAAAACCCTGACAGAAAAACCCTGGCCCTCCAGGTTGGGGGTTGAGCAGTAGGCTAACCTCCTACTCTCATAAAACTCTCACATTACAGCCAAACCCACAATGTGGGCACTGCAGGGCTGAACTGATTACTCACACCCAGGACTACCACCATGCTTGGGACATGGAAAGTTACAACCATGTTTGAGGCTGGGAGAGCTCACCAGATTGCAAACGAAATGAGCAGATACAAAATCAATCTACTTGGTATCAGCAAAACAAGATGGACCAAGTCTGGAAGGCGTCGGTTAGCATCTGGCCTAACTATCCTCTATTCAGGACACAAAGACAATCATGTGAGGCACACACATGGAGTATCTTTAATACAAATGTAAAATCAGTCTTGATGTACCGAGCTGAAACTTGGAGAGTAACAAAGAAAATCTCAGATAAAATCCAAGCCTTCCCAAATTGCTGCCTACACAACATCCTTGGAGTAAGATTACTGAACACCATCAGCAACAAAGACCTACTTGCAAAACCCAGGAAGAGAAGATGAAGACCCAAATCGGAAGAAAGAAGTGATATTGGATCGGCCACATGTTAAGAAAACCACACAACGACATAACTAAACAGGCACTCATCTGGAACCCTCAAGGCAAACAAAACCATGGTAGGCCAAAGAACAGTTGGAGAAGATCAGCTGAACAAGAACTGCTGCAAGTAGGCCTGCGATAGAACAAAATTGAACTGCAAGCTCAGGACAGAGAGCAGTGGAAGAAACCTGTGGATGACCTATGCTCCACTTTGGAGCCAAGGGACTATATATACCTGCTTCTTGAAAGTTTCCTGGTCCAGTGAGCTTGTCACAAACACCTGCAAGTGAATATTTAAATTCATAACGTATATCAATATTCCATTTATGAAAAAAGGAACACAGAATTTTAGCTGATACAGTTTACTGCTCTCGTTACATTCTACTTTGATAACACTGTGTTATATATTAAGCAAACATACTCTGACCCTGAAAGGCAAAACTCACAGTAATGCTCAAGCCTTCATAATGTAACACATAAATGACAAATTACACTATTTATATTACCTGTCTCATTAGTGGCTGACTTTCCACAGCAGTTTTTCCAATCATGCTGTTATCAAATGGTACATCCCTCCAACCTAGAACCTAAAAATAAACAAGATTAAAATTAATAGTTAGCTTTTAGAAGGAAAATGGACTTATTTTTATAATCAAAAAAGACATGAAATGATCAAGAACTCCTTCCATACCTCAATTTGGCATTCTTTTGCAAGTCCTGCAAACATGTCTTCACATACTTTGGCCTGCAGAGTTAAAACAAACAAGAGAAATATATGATCACTGAAGATATATTGTTTGCATGTCCTGGCATTTATTCCCCCTTATCCACTCTACCTCTTGGCTGTTCATCTTTACTTGGGTGTTACTAATTGAATTCCCGAGACATGAATTTTTTTAATTTTTCAGTGCATGCAGTTACACTAATTACAATACAACAGTTACTTACAATACAATATGGACATAACTCACAAGCTGCAGATACATACATCCATAATCAACATCCACATCAACACTACTTACAATACTACATCTACTACTAACAAATACTAACATAACATAGAAGAAAAAACACATGGAAGACATGATAATTTGCCAGAACTAAAAACTCAAAACAGCTATTAAAATTCTCATTCTCCCAAACAACCACACATGCGACTCTCATCTTACTAAAAAAGGCAGAAAAAGGTTTCTATTTTGCAAATGTTACAAAAGCAACAATTAACACCTTTAGCAAAATTACAGCAATGGTAAAAACGTAGTGGTTGAAACATGATGCCCCTGGGTGCTAGGCTCCTTTTGTTTTGTCACACAATCCACCAGGCCTTACCCAAACAGTAACAATAAAATACTAGGACCTGTTCACATGTAATGCTCTCTTATTCATGCCGCTAGCACAAGAATGTTTCATGATATAATTTTCTTGCTTATATACTGCTATGTAGTTGAGAAAGATATTTTATTAGCTCCATCCCTTTAATCGGTCATTGCAAGCCCAATTAACTAATAGATCTAGTTAGTTTATAGTACAGCTTTACCTAGCCTTATGTGCCTACTGACACAATCAGAAGAGATGATGACTGCTTTTCCTATTGGTTGAACTTTGAGACACTGCACTTGCAATTTAAGTCTGTAGAACACTTTCCCAGGGCATTGTCCTGGCCACCATCACACAAAAGAGTAGTCTGTAACAATTATAAATTTAGTTTTGCCCACTTTCCCTTCTGGGGGAGAGGCGTAGAAGTCTGCATATGAGCCTAGAGGCCCATCAGGCCGGTGCTTATCTCCAGTTTCGGTAGCATGAAGCGACTAGAAGTATTTCTACTCTCCCCTGGATGGGATGCTAGTCCACTGCACGATTACCCCCAGCATTAAATTAGCTGGTACCCATTTATACACCTGGGTAGAGAGAAGCACTGCAAGAATTAAGTTTCTTGCCCAAGAACACAACATAATGTCCCCAGCCAGAGCTCAAACCTGGCCGCTCGATCCGAAGTCCAGTGTAACAATGAGGGCACTGGGCCTCCCACTGGGGGAGAGGAAGATAGACCTGTTATTACTCGCGCTTCCGTAGGAAACAAGCCTGAATCTAAAAATGCAAGCTGTTTTTCTTGGGCCACAAATGGGGGGTCATGGTTCCAGGTGGCAGCACATGAGGAAACTGGGAATGAGAATTGCTTCAGCTTAGTGATCGTATGCTTGCTCTTTGTGAACAACATAATTTACATAATACTGTGTTTTGCGCAGAAAGCATTGGAAAGAATCATGCCTTATACACTCATCTCACAAGGACGTGGAGCATTTTCAGAACATTTCAGTCCATGAATTTTTTAGCTTAAAGCTAGCAAAAGTTCGTGCTAGTTCTCACAAAATAACAAATGAACCATAAATACTATAAGCTAAATTAAAAAACTATGACGCTGAGACAACACCTCAGATGTTGAAAAAATTCAAGAATCTTCGGGAACAGAACTTTGAAGGTGGAAGCAAACAACATGTGATGGGATAAAGAGGATAATCAACAAGGCAACTTAAATAGTAAATATCAGAGCTTAACTGTTAAATATCCTGGTTCTTTTCTTTGTTTTATTGTGTTCAATACCTGTAACTTTANCAATATACCGCCCATCAGAGAATGTGAACAAGGCTGTGGATGAGGAAGGGAATAATAAATTAACTATCATGCAACTGATAAACTTGGCTACTTTGCTGAGAGCAAATCAATCTCAATGATAAGTAACAGCACGCAAAATGTAAAATAACTATTTTATCATATAGCTCCAGATAAAAGAAGCGGGTTGTTTACTGTGCTTTCAGAGGGGCAATAGATATTTCAGGAGAAGGGTAGTTTCAAAGCCAAAGAGGCTAAACTGGAATTTCCAGAAGGCTAAGAAGGCTTGTCTGGGAGGGTTAAGGATATTAATTTCAACAGAACAACAACAGTTGTATTTCAGCATTATACTTACCAGGACCATCCCACGCCTCCATTGTACAGGAGATCCAGCGATAAAAATGTTGTTTTTCCATACTCATCAGACTGTTCCCTTGCCAAGCTTCTGGCACCATTGTCATTATGGCCTGGAGAAGAACATCATTTGATTACTTGCAGCATAGAGAAGACTGGCATAAATTACAACACCTTTTTATAACCAGCACTATTTTTGTATTTACTACACTTTTGAAAATCATGTGAACTCTTAAGTTCAAAACCTAACCAACAATGGCATAATTTTATTGCTGCCCTCAATCATAATTAATCATAACCACAGTAAACAAATGCTAAAATAAAAGAGATGAAGAAAATGGTTTGGAATCCACCAGTTACAACTCAGAGATGCGATTTAGAACACTTTGAAGTATGCATCTGGTCCATAAGGGGTTTACTAAGATGACTGATAGCAAAGGAAAACAAAGCTGTTGGTTGAGATTTAAATTTCCAAGTTTACAGAGTTTTGAAAAGTGTAGGTAAGAATAAGAGTTATTATAAATGATTTCAATTTTAAACTTTTCATGAACATAATTTTATTGTAGGAAGGTAGCTCTGGGAAGTGGTGGTGGTGAATAGTCAAACCATACCTCTGGAAGTGAGCGGCCTCCTGCCATGACAAGAAGTTCAAGCACATTATCAACGCAACCAGAGTCTGACAGGTCTGCTTCTATAACTGGAAACAGGCTGGTGGAATCAAAAAAAAGAGAAAGAAACACATTTCAGCTTCAAACTTTTGCACACTTGTGGGTTTTTTTTTTCTGACAAGAAGTTCAAGCACATTATCAATGCAACTAGAGTCTGACAGGTCTGCTTCTATAACTGGAAACGGGCTAGTGGAATCAAAAAAAAGAGAAAGAAACACATTTCAGCTTCAAACTTGTGGGTTTTTTTTCTTTTTAGCAATTAGAGTATAGTACTTACTTTTGTGTGTTGCTGCCATAGTACTTGCTGAACATGGTTCCCTCTCTTGTGTTCATGTTGTTAATGTTCCCTCTTATCGTGTTGATCTCTCCATTGTGGGCTAGATATCTGAAACAGCAAACAGGGAACTATTGTCAAGGCTATAGTGCAACAACATTCTTAAATGAAGAACATACTAATACAAAATTTGGCTAGGAAAGTGCATTCCAGGTATGTAAATCCCTTTAACTCAACATGTCTTATTGCTGCACATTGAAATAGTATTGTATCTTGCTCCCAGCTGAGCTGCTTAGTTCATTACAGTGTATGTTTATTCTCATCACCTGTCCTCTTGAAAATATATTGCAATCGTAAGGAAAAGTTAGATTTCAATCAGACTCGAGTCAGATTAAAGGGTTACTTAGAAACATATAGCAATCAAATGTTCCAGGAAGCATAATTTATTCAAAATGGCTTCACTGTAACATTACATGTTCTTAAAACAAAACTTATTATATTTTTAAACAATTACTGCTTGAAGAAATTAAATTTTACTATGCTATACTATGTACTACAATGAACTTCAAATTACAAACTTAGCAGAACAAACCTGTTTGGATGAGCTCTCTCCCAACTTGGAAATGTGTTTGTTGAAAATCTACCATGAACCAAGGCAAAGTGGGTCCTGCACCAAGATATTTACCAACATGTGTCATTATGGAAAATAGCTATTATCAGAAATCAAATAATGTAAATTTTCCTTTTGCTTTTCCCCAAAAAGAACAACCAACAATTGTACAAAGTGGAAGGCAAAGCCCATTTCTGGGAAGTTTCCATACCAAACATTAATTTAAACAAAAAATGCATAGTATAAAACATGTCATGTCATGTTTTATAATGTGAGTTCAATGACCTACATGTACTGTAAATGCTGCTCAATATCATACAAAACAATTTTCTCACCAGTAATCCTCAGAGTGTAGATCAGGAAAAAAACCTTTAAGCTGTGTTGGTTTCAACATTCCCTGAAGAAAAGATAGAAAAAAAAAAGATCAAGCAACTATTATCAGCTGACTTAGTTGACTTTAAAGCATGATTAAATACCAATCCTATCTGTTTGAGAATTATACCTTATAGACAATTGTGTCACAGGATAAGCTGCAGATGTAAAATCGTCGATTTTTTGTACCAATCCTATTTGATGCCATTTTTCTCAAGAGATAAACCTAGAGAAGAAAAAATTTAATTGAAAATACAAGAGTGAGATTGGGAGAGCCACATGACCAAAACTTTGCAAAGCACTATATTATTACAATCTTCCACAAATAATGAATTTAAATTATCAATTGGAAATCTTTTTCATCAGCAAATGTTACAGAACACATGCATTGCCCTAACCTGGGTACCTAAGGGAAAGAGGAGTAGAGGTTGACCAAAGAAGACATGGAGGAGAACTGTAGAGGGAGAGGGGCAGAAGATAGGTTTTGCCACTTGGAATGAAGCTGTCACCATTGCAAGAGACAGAGCAGATTGGGAGAGACAAGTCAAAGGCTCTATTCAGGACCCCAGTGGCTAAGGGAAGGAAAACCCTGACAGAAAAACCCTGGCCCTCCAGGTTGGGGGTTGAGCAGTAGGCTAACCTCCTACTCTCATAAAACTCTCACATTACAGCCAAACCCACAATGTGGGCACTGCAGGGCTGAACTGATTACTCACACCCAGGACTACCACCATGCTTGGGACATGGAAAGTTACAACCATGTTTGAGGCTGGGAGAGCTCACCAGATTGCAAACGAAATGAGCAGATACAAAATCAATCTACTTGGTATCAGCAAAACAAGATGGACCAAGTCTGGAAGGCGTCGGTTAGCATCTGGCCTAACTATCCTCTATTCAGGACACAAAGACAATCATGTGAGGCACACACATGGAGTATCTTTAATACAAATGTAAAATCAGTCTTGATGTACCGAGCTGAAACTTGGAGAGTAACAAAGAAAATCTCAGATAAAATCCAAGCCTTCCCAAATTGCTGCCTACACAACATCCTTGGAGTAAGATTACTGAACACCATCAGCAACAAAGACCTACTTGCAAAACCCAGGAAGAGAAGATGAAGACCCAAATCGGAAGAAAGAAGTGATATTGGATCGGCCACATGTTAAGAAAACCACACAACGACATAACTAAACAGGCACTCATCTGGAACCCTCAAGGCAAACAAAACCATGGTAGGCCAAAGAACAGTTGGAGAAGATCAGCTGAACAAGAACTGCTGCAAGTAGGCCTGCGATAGAACAAAATTGAACTGCAAGCTCAGGACAGAGAGCAGTGGAAGAAACCTGTGGATGACCTATGCTCCACTTTGGAGCCAAGGGACTATATATACCTGCTTCTTGAAAGTTTCCTGGTCCAGTGAGCTTGTCACAAACACCTGCAAGTGAATATTTAAATTCATAACGTATATCAATATTCCATTTATGAAAAAAGGAACACAGAATTTTAGCTGATACAGTTTACTGCTCTCGTTACATTCTACTTTGATAACACTGTGTTATATATTAAGCAAACATACTCTGACCCTGAAAGGCAAAACTCACAGTAATGCTCAAGCCTTCATAATGTAACACATAAATGACAAATTACACTATTTATATTACCTGTCTCATTAGTGGCTGACTTTCCACAGCAGTTTTTCCAATCATGCTGTTATCAAATGGTACATCCCTCCAACCTAGAACCTAAAAATAAACAAGATTAAAATTAATAGTTAGCTTTTAGAAGGAAAATGGACTTATTTTTATAATCAAAAAAGACATGAAATGATCAAGAACTCCTTCCATACCTCAATTTGGCATTCTTTTGCAAGTCCTGCAAACATGTCTTCACATACTTTGGCCTGCAGAGTTAAAACAAACAAGAGAAATATATGATCACTGAAGATATATTGTTTGCATGTCCTGGCATTTATTCCCCCTTATCCACTCTACCTCTTGGCTGTTCATCTTTACTTGGGTGTTACTAATTGAATTCCCGAGACATGAATTTTTTTAATTTTTCAGTGCATGCAGTTACACTAATTACAATACAACAGTTACTTACAATACAATATGGACATAACTCACAAGCTGCAGATACATACATCCATAATCAACATCCACATCAACACTACTTACAATACTACATCTACTACTAACAAATACTAACATAACATAGAAGAAAAAACACATGGAAGACATGATAATTTGCCAGAACTAAAAACTCAAAACAGCTATTAAAATTCTCATTCTCCCAAACAACCACACATGCGACTCTCATCTTACTAAAAAAGGCAGAAAAAGGTTTCTATTTTGCAAATGTTACAAAAGCAACAATTAACACCTTTAGCAAAATTACAGCAATGGTAAAAACGTAGTGGTTGAAACATGATGCCCCTGGGTGCTAGGCTCCTTTTGTTTTGTCACACAATCCACCAGGCCTTACCCAAACAGTAACAATAAAATACTAGGACCTGTTCACATGTAATGCTCTCTTATTCATGCCGCTAGCACAAGAATGTTTCATGATATAATTTTCTTGCTTATATACTGCTATGTAGTTGAGAAAGATATTTTATTAGCTCCATCCCTTTAATCGGTCATTGCAAGCCCAATTAACTAATAGATCTAGTTAGTTTATAGTACAGCTTTACCTAGCCTTATGTGCCTACTGACACAATCAGAAGAGATGATGACTGCTTTTCCTATTGGTTGAACTTTGAGACACTGCACTTGCAATTTAAGTCTGTAGAACACTTTCCCAGGGCATTGTCCTGGCCACCATCACACAAAAGAGTAGTCTGTAACAATTATAAATTTAGTTTTGCCCACTTTCCCTTCTGGGGGAGAGGCGTAGAAGTCTGCATATGAGCCTAGAGGCCCATCAGGCCGGTGCTTATCTCCAGTTTCGGTAGCATGAAGCGACTAGAAGTATTTCTACTCTCCCCTGGATGGGATGCTAGTCCACTGCACGATTACCCCCAGCATTAAATTAGCTGGTACCCATTTATACACCTGGGTAGAGAGAAGCACTGCAAGAATTAAGTTTCTTGCCCAAGAACACAACATAATGTCCCCAGCCAGAGCTCAAACCTGGCCGCTCGATCCGAAGTCCAGTGTAACAATGAGGGCACTGGGCCTCCCACTGGGGGAGAGGAAGATAGACCTGTTATTACTCGCGCTTCCGTAGGAAACAAGCCTGAATCTAAAAATGCAAGCTGTTTTTCTTGGGCCACAAATGGGGGGTCATGGTTCCAGGTGGCAGCACATGAGGAAACTGGGAATGAGAATTGCTTCAGCTTAGTGATCGTATGCTTGCTCTTTGTGAACAACATAATTTACATAATACTGTGTTTTGCGCAGAAAGCATTGGAAAGAATCATGCCTTATACACTCATCTCACAAGGACGTGGAGCATTTTCAGAACATTTCAGTCCATGAATTTTTTAGCTTAAAGCTAGCAAAAGTTCGTGCTAGTTCTCACAAAATAACAAATGAACCATAAATACTATAAGCTAAATTAAAAAACTATGACGCTGAGACAACACCTCAGATGTTGAAAAAATTCAAGAATCTTCGGGAACAGAACTTTGAAGGTGGAAGCAAACAACATGTGATGGGATAAAGAGGATAATCAACAAGGCAACTTAAATAGTAAATATCAGAGCTTAACTGTTAAATATCCTGGTTCTTTTCTTTGTTTTATTGTGTTCAATACCTGTAACTTTAGCAAAATTTGATATTGCGATATGAAGCCCAAGTGAACAATTTTGGAGCATCTAGTTTTGCCAAAAAAAAAATTGGGGTCACTCTTTGTTGTTTGGTTAAGTTTCATCAAGCTTTTAGCATTGCTTGTGTCTTGTCATCTCCTATCTTTGCCTTAAGCTTGACCAATCCAGCCCCTCAGTGCTGGGAGGGGAGATAACAAAGGCTCTGCCAATACTCTTGTTCCATCCCCACACTAATGTGGAATAAGTGAGGCTTTTATTTTGTGTGCATAACCTGAAGGTATGTACAACTTGCCACAGGGCTGTTTCCCCGACTACTACTACAGCATGTTGTCTGTGTCTTTTGTTATTGTGATCTGATTGCATTACTTTCTAAGCTTACTGTTACCATGTAGAATTGTAACTTTAATCAATATTTATACATACTTGTGCCTTTTTGGTATGCTTCAGGAGCATGTCAGGTGAGTTAAGTCGAGCCGTGGTTCGTATTTTCAAGAGACGTAGTTGAGCCAAAATATCCATGGCAACAAAATAACGAGCCTGATATGCTGCCGAGGCATACCCAAAAGCTATGACTAGGTATTAACCATACCCAAATTAAGCACAATATCATATCAGGTAAGTGACCTGATATTGCAGGATATCAGGAAAGTAGATACGGCTTCTGATTGCAAATTTGGGTATGGTAACTGTTATAATTTAATGCAGCATTATAGGTAAACAAGCAAAAAGGATTAAAATTCAAAACCAAAATATATGCACTACCGTAATTTAATATACTGTCTGTGAAATTTACTACATTAAAATGCATGTTTACCTTGTTTGCGTCAGTGTCAATAAAGAATATTCCAGTTGCATAATCACCAGCTGATGGCAAAGTGAATCCCAGTTTACCTTCCCTGAGAAAGAAACAGAATAAGGCCCCGTCCAGACTACGCCAGAGAAATTTGAAAACTCAGCCTTATTACTAACTAAGGTTATCCCTACTGTCCACACTAGTAACATCACAAAAACAGACCTCTTTGAAAATGCTCCTCAAACTGGCAGAATTTGAAAATAACAACCTTATGTTTCAATGTGGAGAGAAAACAATTTGAAAATGGAGCTTTTTTGTAAACAATGAAGTCATGATTAGCCTGTGATTTTCCTAATGCATTCCCTCAAACACAAATCAAAAATGCCTGCCAATTGTTGCATTTTCAAATTTCTCCAGCGTAGTGTGGACAGAAAACATTTCACGCATTTCCAGGATGAAAATGCCACTTTTTCTCTGGTGTAGTGTGAATTGGACAGGGCCTCAGAATGGATATCCATTCAATACTTCCACATCAAACATGGTTTGTAGTCTTAAGTATTGTATCTCGTTTTCCGTGATTGTAAATAATAGTGTTGTATGTAGGATTATATCTAATTAACTGTCTGATCCCAACATGAGATTGCCAGTCTCTGTGATTAGCTGGAATGCTTCATTCTTTTCGAATAAATTGGACTAACTGTACGTAGCCACACTCTACATGCAGAAGTCCCAATCCCTGGATATTTTGTCTTGCATAGAGTGTGTCTGCATAGGTGTGAGGGTATTTGTGACCTGTTGAGATCAGCTACATGCAAATTGGTTTACTCACAACTACATCCAAGTTATTTTCTTAAGTTCTTTTGTAACAATGTGCAATAAAAGAAAANTATCTCATTTTCCATGATTGTAAATAATAGTGTTGTATGTAGGATTATATCTAAGTAACTGTCTGATCCCAACATGAGATTGCCAGTCTCTGTGATTAGCTGGAATGCTTCATTCTTTTCAAATAAATTGGACTAACTGTACGTAGCCACACTCTACATGCACAAGTCCCAATCCCTGGATATTTTGTCCTGCATAGAGTGTGTCTGCACAGTTGTGAGGTTATTTGTGACCTGTTGAGATCAGCTACATGCAAATTGGTTTACTCACAACTACATCCTAATTATTTTCTTAAGTTCTTTTGTAACAATGTGCAATAAAAGAAAACTCCACTGTAACTAAGATCTCAGCATGTTTTATCAGCCTCAGCCTCTCCCTTCAGCTGAAAACTTCAACATATTCCCCTTGATTATTCTGTCAAAAAAGCTCATCCAATAACAAGTTTGTTTCTCATCTGTCTTGATTGAATTGACTGCCATTCCATGTGTGATAGTCAATTCCAGCATGAACACTGTTTGCATTATTGTAAATATAATTCTTACTCTATAACTCGTTCATAGAAGGCATGTGGAATTCCCGTCATAACTCCAGCACCATCTCCACAGTTCTCCTCGCATCCAACAGCTCCTCTGTGTTTCATTCTCTCCAACACTGTAAGTGCTTCGGACAAAACCTAAAAGAGAACCAGTCATCAATTTGTTTGTAGATGTAATAGGAATACATGCTTCCCAATACACCGATTCCAGAAAAAACCAGAAGTTGCACCGAAACGAGGCTTAATAGCCCTCGCGGTAATTAAAGCAACATGGCGAACGAAGAAGAAAGACCAATCTCTCTGCTGATGATATTCCCGGCGTCAGTGTGAGCAAAGAACATTGAAAACTTGACAGTCAGCCAATCGAAATTCTGGCTTAAAAGTCACCGTATAAATCAAAGGGGCAAAATAAAGGAACTTTTAGATGGGTATGTTTTCCATCCTTCAATTGTCTCGTTTTGAAAGCTCGAGGGCTATTAAGCCTCGCTTGCGTGCAACTTCCGTTTTTTTTCTGGAATCGGTGTATTTGGAAATAATTAAACATGTAGATGACAAATTCTGAGGGCTGCCAGAATAGGACGAGACAACAGACAGAGTCCACTTTGGCAATAAGAGGAATTTTATAATTCCAATATTTATTTCCAATTAAACTAGGATGTAGTCATTATTACCTGTTGGCAAACATATAATAAATTAGAAACATATAATAAATTAGAAACATGTAATAAATTATAAAATGCAGAGTGCATGTGCTAAAGGCCAAACATCTGTTACTCAATAGAAACACACAACTAGCACATCAAGCTCTTAACGAAATGAACGCTTGAGCAAAAATAATGTACATTTGATAGTCACGTTAGACGTCTTAGAGTGATTTTCCATTCTTTATCTTGTGGCATTATCTCATACTTGCTGGGGAGAACTTGAAAAAGCCTTGATCAGGCCTTCAGGTTGGATTTGCACTATGCAGTAGACCCAGAGGACATAGGATTGTTAGTAGCATTACATCACAAATTCAAAATTCACAAAGCCATATTATTACATTTATATCCAAAAAAAAAAAACATTTAAGTTATATATATGGTTAGTCAGGAGCATCACTCCCAGAGGAGTCAACTATTAATAATTCAATAACATTTGTCTAGATTTTGGCCACATAACATTATGCAGAGGACTTTTTGTTTGCAAAATATTAGACTTTGAACCTTCAAAAATAGACGACCTTGTAACGCCATAAATATTAAGTAACAGTTGTTTTTCTTCAATTTTAATGCTTCAAAAGATTACAAGGAAACTTGTGAAACTGTTTACTCTTATGGTTCTGAAAAACAAATTAATTTGCAAATAACTAAAATCTGATTGGTTGGTTAACTTTCTCCCTTTCAGAAATAAGACAACCCCAATACCATTTATCAGTGTCATATTTTTTTTAGCAATTTGAGCCTACAACATGAAACAACCACTGAGCATCTTTTAACCAGTTGTCAGCTCATGTCATGACATGTTTATAATAGGATTTGCCAACACTGGATACCAACCAGATTACAATGTATAGGTCAAGAATAACAATAAATTAATAACCAAACCAGGCCATGCCATGATTAAATAAGGAAACAGAAAATTTTTTTTAAAAATGCTCTAAGGTTGGGTGATGGGTAAAGACTTCTTATTTTCTTTAATTTCTTGAAAAATAGTTCAACCTAGTTTTAAATTCTTTGCAAAGAGCTAACTATATTTAAATTTTTTTTTTTTACCTTACCGACATAAACAAGGCAAAATTTGGTTCAAATGATATAAATTGTACTCATTAAGCTGGGAGAAAACATGCTACAAAATAATTCTAACAGGCGTAGCTATATTTTTCACTGGATGTGTATCCTTGTCAAATGTGTTTTCTGCCAAGAGTTCAGACAACTGTTTTAATTAATCTTTCATGGCATCGCAGAAGTACACAAGGCAAAGTTTGGTCTAAAACCAGTCTCTTGAACGGAGCTTAAATTAGGAAACAGGCTGTACAGGCTGATGGTTTTTGTTGTTTATCAAAATAATTTCTAATATTTTGTGACCACACTGAAGTAAACAAGGCAAAATTTGGTTGCAATGAATGAAAAACTCACTGAGCAGCAAGAAAACACACTACAAAAGAATTCCAAAATGTGTGGCTATATTTTGTTTTCTGCAAAGAGTTCAACTATGTTTTAATTAATTTTTCATGCCATCACGGAATTAAACAAGGCAAAATTTGGCACATATAACATATTCTTTGAAAGGAAAGAAAACTGGATGCACAGGCTGAGGTGTTTTGTTGTATAAAATTTTAATTTTTTATGACCACACCGAAGTAAACAAGACAAAATTTGGTCCAAAAAAGTAGTCTTTGAGCACAAAGAAAACATGATGCACATGATTAAAATTTTAATTTTTTATTGCCACACTGAGGTACACAAGACAAAATTTAGTATAAAAAACATACTCACTGAGCAGAGGGAAAACAGGCTGCCAAAAAAATACGATCAGGGCGTGGTTATATTTTTCACAGGATGTTCACTACCAAAAACAGCTCCAACAGGTGAATGATAGTGTGCGACAAAAATACACTTCCACAAGACAGGCATCGCAATTTATTGGTGTCTGACACTATGCTTGTTATGATAAGACAGGCATAAGTCTTTACCCAAAACAAGGCCACTAAAAGGAATGCAATCAACTGAGTTGCAAACAATTTAAAAGTGCTCAGCTTTAAAATAAAAAAATAGGAATATGGTAAAATTAAATTATTTCTATAAGAAAAATTAAGACAATACCACAGAAATAAATGTGATCAGGCAATTGTGAGATAGTTTTGTATCTCGATAACAAAAACAAAGCATGTTCTACTACTGACAACAGGTTCACCGAGGTGATATTACCAGCGAGAATCACCATGGAACGTGCAAGTGTTAGATTATTTGAGTACAAACAAAGAACTGCTATCACAACAATACACGAACAGAAAATGGGTCCAAAATTATCACGTTAAATGAAATTAACCAAGGCTATTGTTAGACATAACCCTTACACCGCATTCCCAGACGGTGGTCAGGTTAATTTCATATTAAGAAAACGAAAACAAAGACTGACTTTTCAGAATAACAACTACCGACTTCAGTAATATTTAATGACTGGACGAGGAGAAAATTCACTGCACAAATAAAAGGAAACGACTAAATTCAATAAAGTAACATATTTGTGAAAAAAATTCTCCAAGAACTAAAGTAGAAAATTTGGGGAAAACATAGGTGGTCTTGTTACTGTACAAATAAGTATGTATGTAAAACTGCTGAACAGTTACCACACAGATCGATTGATTTGGGCAGACTACTTCTAAATCAGTTGTCTCCCTGAATGGAAACGGGCGTTTGAAATATCGGCAGATTTTATACTGAACCACTGCTTTGGTTTGTAATATTGTACAAAGCCTTGTCATACTAACTTTGCAAAGTAAATAACTTAACTAAAGCTTAGCTTGCTGAGGCTAATGTTTACACTCCAAATACGGTTCACTTGAAAATGCGAAACGTCGCATTTTCGAACGATTGTAAGCTCTTCAGATTCCAGCAACAGGGAGATAGAAGACTTCTCATGAGTCAGCTCAAAAATAGTAGAAGTTTTCCTACCTGAAAGCTCTTCTCTCCATTGATTTTCGCCACAAATCCAACTCCACATGCTTCTTTCTCAAAATCCGGCGAATAAAGCCCTTGTTTCGGCGGATAGCCGTGTTTCGGCCGCACCATATTTCTTTCTTAGAGTTATTCCTTTTGGTGCTATAACAACTTATAATTCGACGAAAAACATAAAATTAATTGTACACACTTGTACACGCTCTGCCTGCGATCTAGCCCAGACGAAGAAGTCGCGTGTACGGTTGTTGTTGGTTTAGGAGGCAGTGATCGGACTTTGGCGCTACACGTGAGTTGCACGCATGTGTTCTTTCACGAAGAGCAAGCCAATCAAATTAACTTCCGGTGATTTGTAAACACTAAAAAAACTAAACTGAAAAGTAAGAATAAATGTTTAATTTACCCAACTAAGCTTGTTTTAATTACCTGTATTTCTCAGTACGGGCGGTGTAATGCAAACTACACTGTTTACTCATAAACCATTTATGTATAAACCATTTACGTGCAGTGAAGGAAGACTGTTTGCACGCGATTATACTAACCAAGTAATTTTCCGGTTCGCACCCCCTAGCATGCACAACGAATCATGTCGAGCGATTATAAAGACGTACACGAACTTGAAAAAGAAGCGTCCAAGGAAAGATTTTCATTCTTATAATTCAAAATGGCGGCCTTCCTTTGCAAGTTAGCCAATATATTAACAAAGTATTCTCAATTTCATTTTCACGTTGATATTGGTCTTGGTCATGCAAGACCTCGCAACTATTAGGCGTTTGCGTAACGACCATTTTCCTCAAAAGAGTCAGAGAGGTCACTTATCAAGGTTTCGTCAAGCAGGCATGCAGGAGAAAAATGCGAGGTTATTTATGGCTGGTCCTACAGTAAATTTCCATGATCAACACGGTTTTCTTTAATAAGGCGGTGTCTTTACATTTCTTTCCGCAGAGAGGTCCAAGAGCTGGGACAGTGAGGAAAGACAAATTTCAACTAAAAGCAACCAGATAGATATATACAATTCCAAAAATCTTCTGTATGAACATCCACAGTATGTTGTGCAATGCTTAAGTCAGTAAATTTCCATGTCGTGCCCTCACGCGCGGTGAATTTCCACTGTCGCGTTATTTTACGCGGGTTTATTATCGGGTCGGGAATATAAAGCACGGGTATCCTAAGCTTCTCCGGTTGCGTAACATCGTAAATATAAGAGTTTTGCAGGAAAGTAACCAGAGTAACGCGGATCATTTATAAAAGTTCGAAATATGGAAAAGAATTTCAGTAAGCTTCTCTTCTGTGTTTCTAGTCAGTGTAGTCTGTTTACATAACATATCGCGAGGAAAACAGCTGGTGAAACTAAACTGACTCCCTGGAACTGTTTTGAAACAACCCCAAAACGCTACCGAAACACAAGTAGCATACAGAATGGTCGAAGCAAGTCATTCTTATTGAATTTCTTTTCCATATTTCGAACTGTGTGTGTCATATATCAGATCGTTACATTCCTATACAAACTTTAAATTATTTACGTTCTGTTTCCGCGCAACTGAATGACATTTAGGGCAGCCAAGGTGTTTGGGCCACCTGTGAATAAAGTACAGAGCAAATGTCACAGTGGAGGGCTTGTGTCCGCAGAAAAAAATTCAAAGTGGTTCAGTTTTTTCTTCAGTTCAGACGCAAGCACTCCGTGCTGATTTGCTGTATTTGATATTACGCGCGACCGACGCCATTCAGGTAATTCAGGTAGGACAGAACGTCCTTGTGCCGGCATTTCGCAAATTGCGACATGTACGCAAATAACCAGTACGTTCAAAGTCCATCTGCTCTTTCAAACAAAAGATGCTTACATCTTACAGAGGGTCATTTACTTTTTCGTCTCCGTTCCAACCATATTTTGTTTTACTGGGTATAACTCAACAAAGTTTTTTTCAGTTCAGGTACCTAAGCTTGCTATACACCCAGGTGAGCTGTACACTGCGAATTCAAGTACTTGTCATTGCTCCCGGTCGCGTTATTCACGGGCTTCGTTTCTTTTCTTTTTTCCCGTACAACACAATAAAATCCAATATAATAAAGGTTTATTCAGGATAAATGAATAGATGTGACGAGTTATGATAGAGTAAGACAAAAAAACAAAAAAACAAAGCAACGACGAATACGTCAGCGAGACAGCGACAACAAAAGTATAATAAATAGGCAACCTTAATTAAGGACTTTCGGGCCCAAAATGTTCCCACGTTCAGAATTTTTTCAAAAATTGCAGGTAAAGATCAACTTATGCCAAAAAGCAAAAAGAAATGGGGGGTCGCTAAGTCTATTAGGCAACGTTTTGCAGCTGACATGGCTGATGTCGCTCCTTGAGGCATAAAAAAGTAGTCTTACCCATTCACATCCCAGAAAAACTTCGATCGCACGAGAGCAGAAAAGGCGAAATATTTGTAACTTCTCACCTACTGAATTTTTTTTTTTTTACTTTTTGTTAAAATGGGGAAGACAGTAAAGGATTTGATCTATGAAAGGAAGGAAGACTAGGAAGACCATTTAAGAGAGTAAACTGCAGGTGATGTTGACGCAACCGGTGGGAAGAAATCTAAACAAGTATAAGCCTTGGTACTAGTTGAAAACGCCCTGATTTCACTTACAATTGCAAACGCAGCTAAACAGTTTCTTTGGAAACTGAAAACTTCGCTTAACTTCGTCTGCAGAGCCTTCATTCCTACTGGCCAAGGATTCTAACCAAGCTTAAACAGGTTCCTGGAGCAATGCAAGAAGATAGATGTATTATCAGTTTTTTTTGGCGGGGGGGGG